AAAATTTGAAACATGACCGATTACGGCCGCCGATCCGCCAGATCTGCGGCCGAAATCTGCCACGTTTGAATATCAAAAATCGGGGCCATCGGACCCCGCGATTTCGATGAAACGCGGCGGCCAATCCTCGCCGTCGAGTATCGCAGATCGACGACGGGGATCGGACGCCGCGTTTCATAAAAAAACGGGGGCCCGACAACTCCGTTTTTCAGATAGCTTTGTGGAGGCGGCCTCCCAGAGGCCTGGCAGGCAGTGGGGAACTCCAAACTCTCCGGTACCTCCCCCGCAGCGAAATGTGCTGGGGTCGACCGGGTGCCTGCCGGGCCAGTCGACCACCCGGTCCGACCGGCAGGGAGCTGGTCGTGGGAGGGGCCCCTGGTCCATCCGGGGACAAGCCCTGCTTTAAACGACCACGACCTTTCAGGCTGGAGATCTAAGTCATACATATAACCTATAGTACACTATACCACATTTTTCGGAGGCTGGCTGAGGTCAGGCGCCATAGGACCAAAAAGGCTGGTGGCGGCAGCCAAAGCAAAATGAAAAACGCCACGCAGTTCTGGTCCACCTCTCAAAATAAGGCTTGGAGGTAGTGGTGGCTTCTGCCGACAATGCTCTTCGATCTGTCTTGATCAAGGTATTATCCAGCGAAGTATGCGATGAGATTCGCCCATCAATTGTTGTCCGGCAGTAATGGTCGATGATGATTATTTTCTGAAATGACAATAGGGATAATCAGAACGGCTTTCATTTCTACAGGGGACTTGTCCTCTTTGTTGTGTGTGGCAGCCATGTAGAAGACTCACTTGCCTTTTATGTCACTTTCATAATGTCAATGCAGGTTAATCACGTTAAAAGGGATCTTCACAGTGTCTTGATCCGAAGACTGTACAGGTGAGTCCGTGAGACCGGTACGATTGACAATATTTGGTCGGATTTTTTTGTGGGTGTGTGGCAAGTTGTATATGACCATGTCAGTCACGTTCATGGTGACTTTTACTGAGTTAGAGTCCTTAAGGATGAATTCCAGGAGGTGTAATAGAGGTGGTTGGCCAGAGGTTGATGATGCATACCGATGGAACGTGGCCACGACAGCATGCAACATGGCAGCTTGACGGAAACGGATGAGGGTGGGAGAGCATGGTAAATGTGTCAAGCTGCACATGTATGTGAATGCAGTGTACCAAATCACCAATGCTTCACCAAGGGAAGTCCAAAGCGCAGCCAGGAAATCATACTAAGAAGGGAAGAACAAGCTAATATGGATGCATGGCAGTGAAACTTGCCCTATGCTGTGGAGTGGAAGAAGAGGTTTTGGTTAACAAGAGAATGGAGTGGGTCACGCCCGAGGCCTTCCATCCCGCCCAGGGGCCGGGGCACTGCTCCCCGCACAGAGCGGAGTTGAGGATCAACCAAAAAAAGGAGGACAGGCCCCAGCCTAGGCAAAAAAAATCAAAACTTGACTAGAGATAGGTAGACAGGTAGGTAGTGAGAGATGTAATGAGTGAAGAATTCAGGGTAGTTATGGAGTGGACCACGAGGGCTTGTAAGGGGCTGTGCATGGAAGGGGCATTGCCCGAGTAGTGTTGAGGGGGTTCTCAAGCTGCACTAGATGCAAGTGGGGAGAGAAGGGTGTGTCGAGGGGTGTCACAAGGTTCTTTGCATGCAAGGCAGTGGACGGCGAAGCGCCCCCCCAAGGCTCTTTGCATGCAAGGCAGCGGACGGCAAAGCGCCTCGGGGGGTTGCGAGGTGCTTCACATGCAACAAGAAGAGAGGATGAGGGAAACAATAAATAAGATGCTTCACAGGACAAGGGCGGAGAGCAGGGAGATTTTTGAGAGGGTTGTTGAGGAAGCGTCAAGCGTGGTCGGAACACAATGCATATCCAACGTTGTGGGGAAGGCGACTCTAGCAGGGAGTCACTAGATGCACATTTCTTCTCACATAAACTGAGTACATGCATGGGTTTCTGGGGGCTAAGGTATAGATCGAGGAATCGCACCTTAGGGCTCTGTGCATCCTGCTGTGCATGGCTGATATGGTGTAATTTCTCAGCCCATTTGGTGGTGATGTTCATGTTGATCACTCACATTTTGTCTTAGTGGAATATATATTTCTGTTGGAAGTTAGCAGGTCATGTGCATACCCGATTTGCAGCACGAGTGAATTAAAAAAAAAAAAAAAAAAAAAAAAAAAAACCATTATGTGCGTTTGTTGTGGCAATGACTCTTGGACACTGGTAAGCTCCTCACTGTTGTCCAAATCTTAGGTGGCACAGGTGAACAGTTCGAACTCGGAAAAGATTTATCGGGCTATGTAATATGTATGTGCGTGTTTCCTGCGATGAATTGAAATCTTGAACTTGATTGGGAGTTTTCTGTGTCCCCTTCTCGTGACACTGCTTGGTTGGCCGAACGGACCACTCCTCTCATCTCCCGTGATCCCTAACAACTGTCACGACGCTTGTCGCAGGGAGGATTTTTTTGCTGAAATGCTCCAGGAGAAGGAGGAAATCGCGGTCAGGAGGAGAAGGTGCAAGGAGGTGTTGGTTGTGCTGCAACAAGCTGCCTGGGTAAGAAAATATGGAATGCTCCTGGATGCTCCTGGATATTTTCAAATGCTTCCAGACCAGTTTTTATACTTTCTCTTTGTTCTCCTCTTCTGTCTGTTTTTCGGTAATTGACTCCCAAATTTCCTATGTTGTAGTCTGTACGGCGTGCTGCTCAGTCCTCCGGCTGTGCCCTGAGCAGGTCCCTGTGCCGGTGTATGCTCACTGCCTCTGGTGTGCCCTGAGAAAGTCCCTGTACCAATATATTCTGGGGGCTTCTGGTTTGCCCGGAGCATGTCCCAGTGCCACGTAGGCAGTTGCAGACGCAAAGGGCATGTGACCAGCTTGCAAAGCCAGACCCCCTAAGCGAAGGTCTCACCAGGGCCAGTTCTCCGTCTTTGTGTTGTTACTCGAGGAGTGAAAGACGTACAAGGATGTCTTAGTCGCACTCGTACATATGCTCAGAATGAACGCGATGAGATACACCTCTCTCTCCGTGTGCACATTCGTGTGGCCATCTGTCTGTTCACCCACACATACTTCCTTTTTGTGTGGGCCACCTACAGACAGGATCTGTTCTCCACGCCGCGTTCATCCATCCTGTTATGATCCTGGCCAGGGCCACCTACAGACAGGATCTGTTCTCCACGCCGCCCTCATCCATCCTGTTATGATCCTGGCCAATTTCGAGATACACATCCATCAGAAAGTACAATGCCGTCCAATTGCAGAAAGAAATGAATGAACTTGAGAGGAGAGAGAGAGGATCAGAAGAAGAAGTAAGAAAGAAGAAGAAGAAGAAGATGTACAGCAGCAAAGACAATGACAAGGCTCTTTTTCTTCGCCCAACAATCTCCTCCTCCTTATCTCCCCCTTCTCTTGTTCATACAAGAAATAATAATACAATGTTGAATGGCTGATCCAGAATCAATGTCCGAGTCCCTCTTCTACTGCAGGTATGACTTGAGGTCCACCATAGCCATGGACGCCTCCCCACTCTTCACTCTCATAGGCCGAGGCTATGGCGGACTACTAGGCCTTGCCCAGATGCCCAAAGGACAACCCAAAGCAGCTATGGCCGCTCTAGCTCAGGCCGCCATGCCCAACCCTGCCTTGAAGCTTCTTGGTGTGGCTCTCCCCAGTTGGGGACTCCCTGCTGCAGCGCCCACCAAGGTGGTGAAGATGGCTGCCACCATCGCCAGGTAAGTACCCCTGGCGCTCCTCCCCCCTTCCTTCCTTCTTCCTCCCTCGTGTCCTTCTCCTTCCTCCCCAGCAGCGCTGCTCCAACCAGCACTCCACCAGTGTGTCGCAAAACTTGCACACCGAAAAAGAGGCCGAACTCTCCGTCCGGCCCAAAGATATAGCGGCCTGCTTTGCCTCTTGGGCGGTGACTTCCAGGCCGCTTGGCCTCCCAAACAACCGGTACCTCCTCCTTTTTGGAGGGAAACATCATTGCAGACTCTGATATTGCCCGTACAGGCCCTAGACTCAGACTGGTATCCGCCTAGACCTAGCCTACACTACTGGGCCTCTAAAAATGCCACTTTTGTCTTCTTCTGCTCAGCCTCCGGTACCTGCACGTCTACTCCTTCCAGGTGCGGTACCGGCCTACCCGCTACTTGAGTGCTTTTCCCCGCTGCAACCCCTCAATGTCACGGCCACAGGTAAGTACCGGCCCTGAGGGCCCAACGAACGAGCAAGTGCCCTGACGGGCCACACACATATTCATGCCAACCAGCACTCAGACAGGCATGGTCACACACACACCCAAGCCAACCAACACTCAGACAGACATGCAGTCCGGCAAGCGTGCACACACAGACTTAGTAGCAGGCGGGAAACTCAGCAAGGCAGTCAGTCTATGAGCAAAACTCAGAAATCAGCTGTGTGTTTCGGTCCATGTTTGGACGGGTCATCACACATCCCACCTGTGCACAATGTGCACTTCATCCCACCACAGAGACCCATGCCTTCACTCCCGTACATTCATCCCCACCCTGTCTATCCCATACATCCGATCATTTTGTCAGTCCTGTCCACCCCACGCATTCGCCGCATCATCCCAACTGTCTATCCCCATCATGGCAGCTGCCGTCCCACGACGGTGAGACGTGAGACTTTGCACTGCACCATTTCTTTCTCTCGCTAGGCCATTGGTCCAAGATTGCAGCTCGAATGATAGGGCCTTGAATCAAGACCAGAGAAAGGAGGATTGTCTGCTCGACGCTGTCAACAAGCAGGAAGCCGAGAAATGAAGGAACAGGGGCTTAGGAGGTGTGAGAATATTTGACATCGTTATAGATCGAAAAAGGGAAAGAAGAAGAACGCTGAACCAGACAGAGCTGCAGTATAATAGGCCCGCGTGGTCAGTGAAGGAGGTGTGAGAATACTCTACATTATTAGAGATAGTAATGGGGAAATGAAGAAGGAAAACAGAGTACGCCGAGCTGCAGCATGATCAGTGGAGGGGTTGTTGTGTGTGTGACAATGGTTGAAGTTATTAGAGAGAGACAGGAGTGTGGAAAGAAGGAAAAACGATGCATGCAGAGCAACAAAGCATTAGAAATGTGTGCTTTCGTGTCCAGTAAACTCAGTAAGTACTATTGGAATGTAAATCTGGTTTCCGGTGTCTGGGTACGAGAGATGTTGATTCATGCCAGCGGTGAATTGCCGGTGGTTAAAAAGGTCCTTACATGTCGTTCCAGAGAGTCATTGTGGAGGGGAAGCAAAAAGGGCAAGGAGTCAAAGGACCTTTCCAAGCAGAGTTTTATCAATTGGAAGGTTTCGCACTTAAATGTTTACCCAGATCCCTTTGCGCGATCTGCCAAAATCTTCTATAATATATAGCAGATTTAGCGACGTTAGTGTTGAGGAATCCTATTTTTGAGTTATTAACTTATTAATAAGTTATTACAATGTCTAGTACTTTTCACTTGGTACTCGCATGAGTCGTTGAAACTTGAAATACAGAACCAAGTCCGAAATCCACATGCAATCGGATGAACAGGAAAAGTAAATTCTGAAATCACCTGGGGCTTGTTAGTTCAATCAGCTTCAATGATGATATCTCCAGCCCGCTGCCAAGAAAAAATAAAGCAAGAAAAGAAACTCCAGAGAGTTATTGTGGAGGGAAAGCAAAAACGGTTTTTCACACTCCTGGGGAAAGGCCTGGGGCGATTCTACTCGTGGGGTTAATCTCCAACATTCATCGCAGGGGGGGACATCTAGATGTTATCCAGGCGGTTTGAACTCTGGTTTGGTTTGTGATGAGCAAATGACTTTCAGACGCCTCTTTTTCTTCTTTTTTTTTCTTTTTTTTTTTAACCAAGGCTCCGATACCCCTCTTGAGTCTTGTGATGACAAATTTCCTTGTGGTGTGTCTGGCATCTGTATCATATCTACCTTGCTCAGACTTTGGAAGAGCTCCCTCTTGATTACACGCTTCCTCAGGGATCTTTCATGATGCCCAGCACAGGAGCAGCCAGTGGTGCAACTCAGTACTCATTGGATAAGGGGTCTTCTCACATGGGGTCTCTGATGGGGAACATGCCTTCAGCCCTCCCAGGTTCTCCCAGGTTCGGTTCAGCAAGCCGGCTCGTCAGGCGGAGCTACACAGGAGATGGGATCATACCAGGACTATCAATGCCCGGATCGTTTGGCAGTGTGGGAAGTCCTCTTTCTTCCTCCTCTTTCATGAAAGTGGAAATTTAAGTCGACATGAATGTGAATGCTTTGATATTCCAGATCTCTCTCTCTCTCTCTCTCTCTCTCTCTCTCTCTCTCTCTCTCTCTCTCTCTCTCTCTCTCTCTCTCTCTCTCTCTCTCTCTCTCT